TCCCTTCCCTTCCCTTCCCTTCCCTTCTTCTTCTTCTTCTTCTTCTTCTTCTTCTTCTTCTTCTTCTTCTTCTTCTTCTTCTTCTTCTTCTTCTTCTTCTTCTTCTTCTTCTCCCTTCTTCCTCCTCCTCCTCCTCCTCTTCTTCTTCCTGGTCCCGCTCGGCGGAAGCGTTAACTAACTATTTGTGTGTGTCCGTAGCTGCCCATAGGAAAATTACAGACCACCCTCACCCTTCCACGCCTGCCACGGCCAGGCAGCAGATCATCATGTCTGCCCTAGTTCGGTCACCAGAACACCAGCCCACGCCCATCAGCCTGCTGGCACCTCCCTCCAGCCGCAGAAAGGAGGCCTCCACGCCTGAGGGTAAGGCTTGGGGGGTGGGGGTGGGCTTCTGTAGGGGAGACCCGGAGACATCCTCCCCCCCAACTGCATATGGTGCCCGGCTTTCTTAATTAGCGCCAAGCGAGAACCGGGTGACAGCCAAAAGCGACAGCCCAAAGCCAGGCGAATTGTAAGGTTCCTAGAATACAGATAGTCCTCCACTTGCCACCGTTGCTAAGTGAGATGGTTGTTAAGTGGGTTCTGTCCCGTTTTACCACCTTCCTTGACAAAGTCTGCTTTTAGGAGGATTCAGAGAAGGGCTTAGAGAAGGCACGGCTGGCCGGGGAATTCTGGGAGTTGAAGTCCACAAGTCCTAAACCTGCCAAGGTTGAACACCCCTGGCCTGTAGTCTAAACAAATGGTAGCTTAGCTGGTCCCTAAAGGTGGCTTGAAAAAGGGAGTTGAGAGCAGGTGGAACTAGGAACACTGACGATCTCCTGGCAGAGATGCAACTACTGCAGACTGGAATGAGTCTCAAAGCCCAATTAAGGTCCGAATTGCAACTACTTCCAGCAAGTCTTTGAGCAGGATCCAAGGACTCCAGCTCCCCTCCCCTCCGTGGATTCCAAGCCCATCATGCTGGATCTCAAAAAATCACGTAGCGTAGCTGGAGGAGAATCCCTGCGCCCTCCGCAAGTTGTCTTTTTCTGTGTGTGATTTCTCCCTGTTTCCTGTAGGATTTGGGTGTCGTCGTGTTATGAGTGTCCCAACTTACGGCTTGTCTTTGACTCCCCTATCTGTCCATGTGGTTCGGTCACGTGACCAAGACTCTTTTGTTCTGTCCTGCCCAGGAGTGTGAAGGGGAGACCCCCTCCCCGGTTTTCAGTCTCTCGAGTTACGATGTTATTGTATGGTTTTAATAATAATAATAATTGGGAATTAATGGTGGCTTACCTTAACAGGATTGTAACCATCACTGAGATAATTATACGAACTCTCAGAGCTCTGTGTAAGCACTAATTATCACGATTTCCGTTTCCATAGGTGTTAAATTACTAACCGGCAGGTCCACAATGTTTAATTCCAGGGTTCCCCAAATCTGAACAATATCTGCATATTAACTAACTCTCTCACCAAATTTTGCATCCGCTGCCAGACAGCCGTATTGTTTCAGCCCTGCTGTTCTTGAATCACACCTCCTTTACAGAAGGGTTCCCCCCCCAATAAACACCTTTATTTACCAATTATTTCTCAAATTTCCAATTTGCCTATGTTGGCTTTCGCAAACCCTGTTAGAAAGCCAGGCTGGGTAGGTCCTTCTGCGATATTTTTTTAAGGCAGCCCTGTATTTTCTCAGGATCTCCTGGCAGTCTCAGAGGAAAAGACATGGCTGCTTTAAAAAGCGGCCCCAGAATGTGACGTGCCATTCCAAGCCACCCAGAGTAGATTTTCCTCATTATTTCCAAAGCAAGGCAGACCTCGGCTATACATTCTTTTTGAGGATAAATGGATATTACCGTGAAAACAAAATTTGGGTAGAATTTAAATTGTGTTTAAGAGTAGGCGGGAGAGGGCATGGTGGGCTAGTGGTTAAGATGCTGGGCTTGTCAACCAGAAGTTTGGCAGTTTGAAACCCAAGCAGGACATGACGGGGTGAGATCCCGTTCCTTGCCCCAGATCCTGCCCATCTAGCAGTTTGAAAGCAGGCAGATATGAGTAGATACATAGGCACCACTTTGGTGGGAAGGTAACAGGGTCTAGGACAACTCGCTCCAGCCGTCTCGCCCTGGCCAACTACCTCCAGCCAACTTACCACGGGACAGTTCCACGTGGGATAACTCAAGAGAGGGACAAGTAGAATTGCAGATCACCGCAGCCTTGAGGACTTCTAAGTTGAGAAGGTTCAAATCTAAAGCAAGACAAGGCCCGGTGCAATTCACTTGTCCCTCTCTTGATTTATCCCACGTTGGATTGTCCCACCGCAAGTTGCCCCACAGCGAGCTGGCCCCGGAGAGTTGGCTGCGGCAAGTCGGCCGCAATGAGTCAGCCATGTTGAGTTGTACCATTCTGAAGAAGGTAACAGCGTTCCATGCTCTTCGGCGTATAGCTATGCCGGCCACCTGACCCACATTTCATTACCAAACCAGGTAACATCATCAGTGGTAGATGCTGCATTAGATACTTGCCTCAAACTCCCCTCCCTTCCAGAACTGATGATGTGACCTCTTTTGGTAAAGAAACGTCTGCAAGCTCAGAGAGCCCCAAGGACCACACAGTTTGGAGTTTAGGATCCTATAAAGGTCTTGAAGAAATAATGTAGATCACTCAGTTTCTTTAAAAGCTGGTAAGCCATTTTAGGTGTGACGCCCTTTGGCTGGGCTGGAAGACATTCTGCTCTAAAGACAGCGCTAGCAGATTCACAGAAGTGGGAGGGGCGGTGCAGAAATTTGGTGATAGATAGATAGATAGATAGATAGATAGATAGATAGATAGATAGATAGATAGATAGATAGAATGATATAAATAGATGAGATAGACAGACAGATAGATGAGGGAGAGAGGGAGGTTTTAGCATCGGCCCGTGTGTACCTTTTCATGCAAGCTGGTTCTTCGTGTAGTTTCCCAACTAACAGAGTTTGTGCTGTTTCCCCTAGAGTTTAATCGGCGCCTTAAAGAACGGATGCATCACAATATCCCTCACCGTTTCAACGTGGGGCTGAACATGAGAGCCACCAAATGTGCTGTTTGCTTAGACACTGTGCACTTTGGACGTCAGGCTTCGAAATGTCTGGGTAAGCAGGATGGGCCAGCCGAAGAGGGCTGACCGAGCAGGTGATCCAGAGGTGCTTTTCTCCGGAAAGAGGCCTTTTGGCGGAGGTCTTTCCAATGCAGATGGGCTGCCGAATCTTGCCCCGATGGGCCGTGTTGTGCCTTGCGTTTACCAAGTGGTTGTTTCGTTTCCCCAATGGGCAGATCTGCACGTGCCTCACTGCATCGTACTGTATATACCGCCTGGCTCAGTTTGCGTCTGGCTGTTTTATCCTTGGGGTGGGCAGGCACCTGCCTTAGTGTATTTGTGGGTTTGAAGAGCGCACTTATATTGTGTCGGCTGAAGATTGGCTGATCCTAGTATGCTGATCCTCTGCATATTAAAAAGCAGAGACATCACCCTGCCAACAAAAGTGCTATAGTCAAGGCCAGGGTTTTCCCAGTTGTAATGTATGGCAGTGAAAGTTGGACCATAAGAAAGGTTGAGCGCCAGAGAATGGAGGCCTTTGAACTCTGGTGCTGGAGAAGACTCCTGCGAGTCCCTTGGACTGCAAGGCGTTCAAACCGGTCAGTCCTAGAGGAGATCAACCCTGACTGATCTTTAGAAGGCCAGATCCTGAAGTTGAAACTCAAGTACTTTGGCCACCTAATGAGAAGGAAGGACTCACTGGAGAAGGGCCTAATGCTGGGAAAGATGGAGGGCAAGAGAAGAAAGGGACGACAGAGAATGAGGTGGCTGGATGGAGTCACTGAAGCAGGAGGCGTGAGCTTCAATGGACTCCAGAAGATGGTAGAGGACAGGAAGGCTTGGAGGAACGTCATCCATGGGCTCGCGATGGGTCAGACACGACTTCGTAATTAACAACAGCAACAACAAGGTGGTTGATTCCTCTTCTTTCTCCCCTCTCCTCTCTTCCCCTCCCCCCACTTTTTTTTCTTTTTTAAGAATGCCAGATGATGTGCCATCCCAAGTGTTCCGCCTGCTTGCCGGCCACTTGTGGCTTGCCGGCTGAGTACGCCACGCACTTCTCCGAAGCCTTCTGCCGGGACAAGCTAAATTCCCCCGGCGTGCAGCTGAAAGACCCAGGCAGCGCCTTACGGCTGGAAGGATGGATGAAGGTGCCCAGGTACAAACGTGAGTCTCTGCCTTGAAAAATGCCAGCCCAGCTTTGAGACTGCCGAAAAGAAGAGCAGCTCTGGAGGGCCATGGCGGAAGCCGCGGAGGCCGTTTTCTCTCGGTGACTTTTTTTTTTTTTTGGGAGCCTCGTCCAACTTCCCGCTTGATCCGGAACCTCGCAGAACTTCTCAAGGTTGTCCTTGTCCTTCTCTATTTTCAGGAATAATAAACGCGGCCAGCAGGGCTGGGATAGGAAGTATGTCGTTTTAGAAGGAACTAAAGTCCTTGTTTACGACACGGAAACGAGAGAAGGTAATTCTTTTTTTTCTTCTTTTTTTCTTCCTCTCCATCCCGAGCTTTCCTGTGTTCCCTGCCGCAGCCATCCATCCGCCTCTTACTTTGGGGAAGTGGAAAACCCTTTTCTATGATAAGTGGCGTCTTTTCCAGCAAACCAACTGCAATTCAGGAAGGTTTCCTGGCACTTAAATCAAGTTGGTGGGTTTGAAAAAGATGCTACAGGAATCCTTCTGGATATGTTTTTGGTTTTGGCCACCCTTTCAAAGCAGAGGTCTCCAACCTTGGCCACTTGACGACGGGTGGACTTCAACTCCCAGAATTCCTCAGCCAGCATGGCTGGCTGAGGAATTCTGGGAGCTGAAGTCCACCCGTCGTCAAGTGGCCAAGGTTGTAGACCCCTGCTTTAAACTAACAAGCTTTCCCCCCTATAACTAGGATTTTGCTATTCGTGTTTCCCCGAAAATAAGACCGGGTCTTATATTAATTTTTGCTCCAAAAGACGCATTAGGGCTTATTTTTCCAATTAGGTCTTATATTCAGGGAAATACGGTGCTAAATACGTCCATCTGGGTGACCATCTTAACTGGGGCTTATTTGGGGGGAGGGGCTGATATTACGTGCATCCTGACAAAATCATGCCAGGGCTTATTTTCCAGTTGGATCTTATTTTGGGGGGGAAACCTGGTATTCAAAATGTTTTCACCTGAGACCGTTCCCGTATTTATTTATTTACTGAATTCATTTGCCACCCATGGGCTTACTCGGAGCGGCTTACAACCATAGAAACCTAAAATTATATTAAAAAAATGTACATCTACTGAGAATAAAACAGTAAAACAATAAAAACAAGGAATGGAAACATAGCAATATGATGAAGAGCTGGGTGGGGAAGGGAGCAGGATCCACGATGGGAAAGTGGGAACTACTTTTATTTTGCACTATTTTCCTTTCTTTTATTATTTGCATTATTTTGCTTTAACTTGCACTCGATCACCAAGGAATCACCGTCTGCTCCTTCCAATGTAACTCCTTCAGCTTGGTGGGGGGGGGGGGGACTGTCTGGAGGAATTGTGGATGCCATCCCTGCTGATTTTTGTTGCATCCCAAAAGCAGAGCATGGGTGAAATACAGACAGTTCCTCGGCTTACAACAGCTCACTTAGTGACGGTTTGACGCTACCAACGGCACCGGAAAAATGGACCCATTTTTCACACTTGCAACCATTTGCAGCCTCCCCAGGGGTCACGGGATCAAAATTCAGCCGCTTGGCAACTGACTCGTATTTATGACGGTTGCAGTGTCCCGGGATCGGGTCTACGACCCCTCGCCGCAGCCAACGCGCCGGGGGGGGAGGACAAGCGTTACGCTAATATCAGAGAAATAGTGGAATAGAATCATGAAAGGAAGAATGCCAGAGGGGGGGGGAGCCAAATGCAATGCGAACGACAAAAAAAAATGGAAACATGTTTAAAACTATTTTAAATAGTTCAATTGAACTGTCCGGTGGCGAGCTGACCGTGGGGGATTGTCCCATTTGATCCGGAATCATGTGGTCATATTTTGTGACCCGCTGACGAGCAAAGTCAACGGGGCAAGCCAGATGCAAGTTAACAAACCGTGTTACTAACTCCGCTGCTGTTGCTAATGTCCTTAACTGGCCGGCTCTTTCCTGCAGCGACGCCACGCCCGAGTTTTAAGCCAGCCGCTTTTCCGAGTGACCTGAAGAATTGAAAGTCTGAAGGGGGTGAAGACCCTCTGCTCATTACGCTTCCTTTTCCCTTTCATTTCTCCCCTTTTTTATTCATTTTCAAAGCTGGACAACGGCCCGTGGAAGAGTTTGAATTGTGCCTTCCAGATGGAGACGTTACCGTCCACGGGGCCGTGGGAGCGACCGAGCTTCTCAATACAGCCAAGACAGGTGAGGCTGGATCCAAAATCCAGGGCTGCCGAAGCTGGCTGGAGGACGGGAAGGCTGTGGATTCTTTCCAAGGACGGCCTGAAAAGTGGTAGAGAATAAAAGAGGAGGATCTTGATGGAGAGAGGGAAAAACCCGTGACCAAAAGTGGTTTGGGACTCTGGAAAGACTGCAGAGAAGAGCAAGAAAGAGGATTAGGGGTCTGGAGGCTAAAACATATAAGGAAGGGAATTGGGGACGTCTAGTTTAATGAAGAGAAGGACTCAGGGTGACATGTTAGCAGCCTTCCAATATTTGAGGGGCTGCCCCAAAGAAGAGGCAGTCAGCCTATTCTCCAAAGCACCAGAAGGCAGGACAAGAACTAATGGATAGGACGCTATCGAAGAGAGATCCAGTTAGAATTGAGGAGGGGATTGTCTGGCAGTTAGAACAATTCATCCGTGGAACGACTGGCCTCCAGAGCTTGTGGGTGCTCCACTTGTTTGGTGTGCTTCTGCTCTACCAGCGGAGAAAGGAGCCAGCAAAAGAGGGCTGGTTCTTCCCTAATCCAGCGTGTCTCTTTTATGTTCTGCTTGGTGACCACCTAGATGTGCCCTATATATTGAAGCTGGAATCCCATCCTCACACCACCTGTTGGCCTGGCCGAACTCTCTATTTGCTCGCGCCCACCTTTCCGGATAAGCAGCGGTGGGTGAATGCCCTGGAATCTACGGTGGCTGGAGGAAGAGTTTCCAGAGAAAAGGCAGAGGCTGATGCTGTAAGTAGAGGGAAGGAGAAAAGGAAGGAAGAGAGAGAGGGAGGGAGAGGAAAAAGGAGGGAGAGACAGTAAAAAAATAAGAGAAGGAGGGAGAGGAAGGGAGGGAGGAGGGAGGGAGGGAAAGAAGACGGGGAGAAGAGGAAGGGAGGGAGGGGGGAAAGAAGAGGGGAAGAAGAGGAAAGGAGGGAAGAAGGAAGGAAGGGGGGGAAGAAGAGGGGGAGAAAAGGAAGGGAGGGAAGGAGGAAGGAAAGAAGAGGAGGGAGAGAGAAAGAAAAAAAAGGAGAGAGAAGGAGAAGCCCTTTCAAGAAATACAGGGGAAAAAGATGACTCTTAGCCAAAGCAAAGATGGTTGCCCACCCCATCTTTCTTTTCCCACTCCAAGAGGGTGGGGCAAACCTGGATTCTCCCAAGCCAGCCTGTCCCTCTTGGAAAGGGGTATTTACAACAGAGGCAGATCCCTTCTTTTGCACAGAAAAACATTGTCAGGTCAAACTCTTAATCGGGGAGTGGACTCTCTTTACAAAAAACCTCCGGTCCTTGATTGGCTCGGCCAGGAGCGATTTCTTAAATCAAAATCTTTGGCTCAGATTCACTTCCCCACTGATGACTTTAATCTCCCAAACAAAAAAAGGGGGAGCGAAAAATGCAATCAGGATTCCCTGTTCCCGAATGCCTGGTGCAGAAAGAGCTCCGTTAAGGCACGTTAAGTGCACTCTAATAAATAAGAGCTCAGGCAGGCTTTACAGAAACGCGATTAGAGTGACTTTGATTAACTGCGATGGATCTCGTTGGAAAACTGGTGCTCCAATGGGTTTTGCCCCCATTTTGGGACCTGATCATAAGCCAGTTTTTTTCCAGCGCTGTTGTAACTTCAAGCCGTCACCCAAGGAAGGACTGTGAATCAAGGGTTATTCATGTTCTAACCAGGACAAGCCTCTGAAGTGATCTTTTTCGTTCTCCCCTTCCCCTTCTGTCTTCCTGCACAGAAACTCCTTGGGAATTCTCTCCTGAAGCTGGAAGGAGAAGACCGCTTGGATATCAACTGCACTTTACCCTTCAGCGATCAGGTAAGGGCTCTCCGGCTTCAGCTCACCTTTAACGGCCACAGAAGCTTTGGTGGCTCCTGCGCGGAAAAGTCCATTTAGGTTTTGAACGGCTGGGCAAATTTATTGAGGCATTCAATCGGTCTGCCTCCCATCTGGCCAACGGGCGACTTTCAGCCAGGCAAAGGTAACGAGAAAAATGTTAGAATAATAAATGCCAACATTGAAATTGACTCAGATTGTAAGTACAGAGAGTCCTTGACTTACAACCACGGCGGAGCCCAAAATTGATGTCGTTAAGCGAGACATTGGTTCGACATGTTTTGCCCCCATCTGATGACTTTTCTTGCCCCCTTTGTTAAATGAATCGCGGCGCTTGTTAAATTAGTCACATGATGGTTAAATGAATCCGGCTTCCCCTTTGATTTTGCTTGCCAAAAGGTTGCAAAGGGGGGGTCACTGCAACCGTCATAAATATGAGTCGGTTGCCAAGGATATGAACTTTGATCCCGGGATGCTGCAACAGTCATAAACGTGACAAACGGTCCTATGTCACTTTTTTTTTTAGTGCCATGGTAACTTCAAACAGTCACTAAATGAACCGTTGTAAGTCAAGGATTACCCGTAGGCCTTTGTCAAAACAATTCCACTCTCCTTGTCATGTCAAAGCGTTTTGCGTTTACCTTTTGAGCCACCTGGTGGCCTCTTTTCTCTGCCTTTGACACACGGGTGTGTCAATCCTGTTGGGCAGGTGGTCCTGGTGGGTGCTGAGGAAGGCCTCTATGCCCTGAATGTGCTGAAGAATTCCTTAACGCACGTCCCCGGGATCGGTGCTGTCTTTCAAATCCACCTCATCAAGGNGAAGGAGGAAGGGAGGGAGGGGAGGAAGAAGGGAGGGGGAAAAGAAGAGGGGGAGAAAAGGAAGGGAGGGAAGGAGGAAGGAAAGAAGAGGGAGGGAGAGAGAAAGAAAAAAAAAGAGGGAGAAGGAGAAGCCCTTTTAAGAAATACAGGGGGAAAAGATGACTCTTAGCCAAAGCAGAGATGGTTGCCCACCCCATCTTTCTTTTCCCACTCCAAGAGGGTGGGGCAAACCTGGATTCTCCCAAGCCAGTCTGCCCCTCTTGGAAAGGGGTATTTACAACAGAGGCAGATCCCTTCTTTTGCACAGAAAAAACTGTCAGATCAAACTCTTAATCGGGGAGTGGACTCTCTTTACAAAAATCCTCCGGTCCTTGATTGGCTCGGCCAGGAGCGATTTCTTAAATCAAAATCTTTGGCTCAGATTCACTTCCCCACTGATGACTTTAATCTCCCAACAAAAAAAGGGGGGTGAAAAAATGCAATCAGGATTCCCTGTTCCCGAATGCCTGGTGCAGAAAGAGCTCCGTTAAGGCACGTTAAGTGCACTCTAATAAATAAGAGCTCAGGCAGGCTTTAAAGAAACGCGATTAGAGTGACTTTGATTAACTGCGATGGATCTCGTTGGAAAACGGGTGCTCCAATGGGTTTTGCCCCCATTTTGGGACCTGATCATAAGCCAGTTTTTTTCCAGCGCTGTTGTAACTTCAAGCCGTCACCCAACGGAGGACTGTGAATCAAGGGTTATTCATGTTCTAACCAGGACAAGCCTCTGAAGTGATCTTTTTCGTTCTCCCCTTCTCCTTCTGTCTTCCTGCACAGAAACTCCTTGGGAATTCTCTCCTGAAGCTGGAAGGAGAAGACCGCTTGGATATCAACTGCACTTTACCCTTCAGCGATCAGGTAAGGGCTCTCCGGCTTCAGCTCACCTTTAACGGCCGCAGAAGCTTTTGTGGCTCCTGCGCGGAAAAGTCCATTTAGGTTTTGAACGGCTGGGCAAGTTTATTGAGGCATTCAATCGGTCTGCCTCCCATCTGGCCAACGGGCGACTTCCAGCCAGGCAAAGGTAACGAGAAAAATGTTAGAATAATAAATGCCAACATTGAAATTGACTCAGATTGTAAGTACAGAGAGTCCTTGACTTACAACCACGGCGGAGCCCAAAATTGATGTCGTTAAGCGAGACATTGGTTCGACATGTTTTGCCCCCATCTGATGACTTTTCTTGCCCCCTTTGTTAAATGAATCGCGGCGCTTGTTAAATTAGTCACATGATGGTTAAATGAATCCGGCTTCCCCTTTGATTTTGCTTGCCAAAAGGTCGCAAAGGGGGGGTCACTGCAACCGTCATAAATATGAGTCGGTTGCCAAGGATATGAACTTTGATCCCGGGATGCTGCAACAGTCATAAACGTGACAAACGGTCCTATGTCACTTTTTTTTTTAGTGCCATGGTAACTTCAAACAGTCACTAAATGAACCGTTGTAAGTCAAGGATTACCCGTAGGCCTTTGTCAAAACAATTCCACTCTCCTTGTCGTGTCAAAGCGTTTTGCGTTTACCTTTTGAGCCACCTGGTGGCCTCTTTTCTCTGCCTTTGACACACGGGTGTGTCAATCCTGTTGGGCAGGTGGTCCTGGTGGGTGCTGAGGAAGGCCTCTATGCCCTGAATGTGCTGAAGAATTCCTTAACGCACGTCCCCGGGATCGGTGCTGTCTTTCAAATCCACCTCATCAAGGATCTGGAGAAACTGCTCATGATTGCAGGTGAGGAAGTAGGAAGCGTCGCCTTTCGCTTTAGGCTTGCAAGCTTCTTCGCTAGAAAACGCCTCTCTGCTTGCCCCCCCCTTGCTGCTTCAAATCAAGGTCAACCGGCGTGAGCGTTTGAATCTTTACACAACACTTTCAGATATATCTGAACCACGAGGGCTAGAAACTTGCTTTTGGTCATGCTTGCTCCTGGGACTCATGCCTGTTGGCTCGCCTGCCTTTGAAGGCGATTATTTTTATGCCTGAAGTCTTCAATAGCATAGAATAATTTTACTTATTTATTAAATATATACATACATGCCGCCCATCTCACTAAAACAAATGGCTGTTCCTTTTCATCTTGCGAACTAGACTTGAATGTGTGTGTTTTGTTGCCTTCAGAGGATTCGAAGTCAACCTCTGTGTTATAGGGGAAGGAGTGGCAGAACCTAGGATGGAGTTAAAAGAGAGATCAGCCTAGAATCCCTACGTAGCCACAAAGGAATTAAGTCCAATTTCCCTTGACTGCTCTTCCCTCAAGACCACGCTATAGGGCATGGCACGCCAAAACAACCAGACAGTTTTTTCCCCCCATGCCATCACTCTGCTAAACAACTAATTCCCACAACAGTGCCTATGCAGATCACCTAGTAGGGCTGTATTACTTCTCATGCCTATAACTTTGTTGTTTGTAACCTCATGATCTGAGTTGATTGCTTTTATTTAGTACCCTACGACTATCCCTGAGTTTGTTATCTTACGATTTATGACGATTGTATTTTACGATGATGATGATGGTGATTCATCACATGTTGCTTGTATGTACACTGAGAGCTTATGTACCAGGGACAAATTCCTTGTTGTGTGCCCACTCCACACTTGGCCAGTAAAGAATTCTGTATTTCCGTGGCGTGGTTTCCCCAGGAGACGAACGGGCGTTGTGCCTTGTGGACGTGAAAAAAGTGAAGCAGTCCCTCGCTCAGTCCCACCTGCCGGCTCAACCTGACGTCTCGCCCAACATTTTTGAGGCCGTGAAAGGCTGCCATCTTTTTGCAGCTGGCAAGGTAAGCGAGACCCTCCAAGTTCTCAGTCATTCATAGAACAACACGTGGACACGAACGAAGGCAAGCAAGCAAGCAAGCCCGGCCCTCAAAGACCATCAGTTTATCTTTCATTCCGTGTAAGCAAATGACTGCTGTTTAGGTCTGTGGTCTCACACTTACTGAACCCGATCCCCGGTATGGCTAGCTTCTTTCCCAACTGGTGCTTCTGTTGGGTTCCTTTGCAGATTGAGAACGGGCTGTGCATCTGTGCGGCCATGCCCAGCAAAGTGGTGGTGCTACGTTACAACGAGAGCCTCAGCAAGTTCTGCATCCGGAAGGTAAAGCGTCCTCTGGGTCCACAGAAGCCTAAAAGTGCCTCCAGTGGATGTCTGGTGGCGCCTCCATCAGATCAATTGAATGGGACCACGTCTGCCCACTGCCCTTCCCTTTAACCTACCTGCAACGTGAACATCTGCGTTATAATTCCTTAGCATAAGTGAGGGTTGAAGTGTACGTCTGGGAGTTGAAGTCCACAAGTCATAAAAGGGCCAAGCTTGAGTCTTTCGTTGGTTTTTTTTGTGGTCGCAGGAGATCGAGACCTCGGAGCCGTGCGGCTGTATCCATTTCACCAATTACAGCATCATCGTGGGGACAAATAAGTTTTATGAAATTGAGATGAAGCAGTACACCCTAGAAGGTAGGAATCCCTTCTGATCAGCCTGCTTATAAGGGGGGGACATTAAAGGCTGTTGAGGGAGTGGCGGTGGTAGGGACACCCATCCCTGTGATTCATGCCTGATCAAGTTTGGTCAGCAGAAAAGGAGAGCAGGTTTTTTTTTTGTGGGGCTGGAGACACAAGGGGCTCCCGGAGAAGGGAATGGAGAGTCAGTCCACGATCTGCATTAGAGATCTAGCAGGCAAGGGACTGCCCAGGTCATGTCTCAGATGCTGAAGTCAGCTCAGATAGCAGATTTATTTTTCCTTGGCCAAAAGAGCAGTGTAGGACAGCCACCGCTAGCAAAAACGACTCGAAATCAGAGGTTAATTGGACCATTCTTTACTCACTGCTGTGCTCCTATGGATCAGCGGTCAATATCGGCTTTCCATAGGTGGTTGGCTGGCTGGGGAATTCTGGGAGTTGAAGTCCACCTGTCTTAAAGTGGCCAAGCTTGAGAAACACTGTGGTATTCTCTCTCCCATCGTTCTGCATTATTGGATCTTTGATGGCTAGGATTGTGAGGAGTCGGATTTGAAAAAAAACCACGTACGGAAACTCACGCTTGCCGATCTCTGCCACAGGGTGGAATCTTTAAAAAATATATTCCTTTTGGGAGTTTTCCTAGTGGGTGGAAAAGAAAGTGTCTGATCCACAGTTCCTTCCACATGCCAAAGGGCTACCTAGGTGCAGATGGTGAGTTAATAAGAGGCCAAGAAGGTAGCCTGGTTGAAAAGAAAGATGTGGGATGTCAGGCCACGTCCCGCTTTTGCTAAAACTGATTCATGTGTCGTTTTAGAATTCCTGGATAAGAATGACCACACCTTGGCGTCCGCTGTGTTTGCATCCTCCACCAATAGTTTCCCAATCAACATCATCCAGGTGAACCCAACAGGGCAAAGAGAAGAGTATCTGCTTTGCTTCCATGGTAGGTTGACGTGACTGTTAAACAGTATTTCTTTCTTTATCCCACTTCAGTGATTTTTTATTTTATTTATTTATTTGCCATTTCCTTGCAGAATTTGGCATTTTTGTAGACTCCTACGGAAGGCGCAGTCGCTCGGATGACCTGAAATGGAGTCGACTGCCTTTGGCATTCGGTGAGTATCCGGATTTATTTCCCATCTCCTCGCTCGGCGTGCAGCTTATTGTGGTATTTTTTTTGAACGAAAACAGAGTTGGATAGAAAACGTTCTGTCCCCGGTGACTTTCTCTAACCTGGCCTCTCTCTCTCTCTCCTGGGCTCTGCCACAGCCTATCGGGAACCGTACCTGTTTGTGACCCACTTCAATTCCCTGGAGGTGATTGAAATCCAAGCACGCGCTTCCCTTGGGTAAGTCAGCCGTGGCCTTTGGTGACCGCCAGGGCCAGGGTGCTCCTAAAAAGCCTTTCGGACCAGACCTGCCCCCCCCCGGTCTAAAGAGTGTCTTTCTCTCCTCTCTGGCCCCCAGCATCCCAGCCCGGGCCCATCTGGACATCCCGAGCCCTCGTTACCTGGGCCCGGCTATCTCCTCCGGAGCCATTTACCTGGCCTCTTCCTATCAGGATAAATTGAGGGTGATTTGCTGCAAAGGGAATTTGGTGAAAGAATCCAACAACGAGCACCACCGAGGATCCTCAACCACCCGCAGGTAGGAAGCGACATTCCAGCTCGGAGGGAGAATCCAGGAGGCCTTCTAGCTAAGGGCACGGGGGGAGGGGGGCAGCCTGCAGATGGGCAGGTTGTCCGGGGATGGGAGGGTTGATTGGCAGGGGTCGGTGAAGTACCCATCTTTGGGTATGCTTTGTCTTCCTCGGTTCCCGTGGGAACTTGAGAACTTGAGCAAAGGGAAGAGTTAGGTTGCTCACCTGCTACAAATCACAATATAACTGGTGTTGTTTTTTTTTGTGCCTCGCTGTCCAATCCTTTGTTTTTGACGGACAGCAGTCCAAACAAGAGAGGACCGCCCACCTATAACGAGCACATAACCAAGCGGGTCGCCTCGAGCCCAGGGCCTCCCGAAGGTCCCGCCCACCCTCGCGAGCCAAGCACACCGCATCGCTATCGGGAAGGAAGGACCGAGCTCCGGAGGGACAAGTCTCCGGGGCGTCCCCTGGAGAGGGAGAAGTCTCCAGGACGGGTCCTCAGCACCCGCCGAGAGAGGTCCCCCGGGAGACTGTTTGAGGAGAGCAGCAGGGGACGGATACAGGTGGGGGGCGCCCGGACTCCCCTCGCCCAGGTCAACAAGGTAAGTAAGGCAGGAGGGGGACGCCCCAAATCTTCCACCCCACCTGTGAGGGGGAAATGGTTCTTCTACATCCCCGGCCATTGGGGAAAATGAAAGCCAGTTTGGTGCAGTGGTTAAGATACCAGTCTAGAAACCAGGAGACAGTGAGTTCTAGTTCTGCCTTAGGCATGAAAGCCGCCTGGGTGGCTTTGGGTCAATCACCAGGAGACGGTGAGTTCTAGTCCTCCCATAGGCATAAAAGCCAGCTGGGTGACTTTGGGCCAATCACCAGGAGACGGTGAGTTCTAGTCCTCCCATAGGCATAAAAGCCAGCTGGGTGACTTTGGACCAGTCCCCCATTCTCAGCCCAACCCACTTCACAGAGTTGTTGTGGGCAAAATAGGATTAGCTACGTTTGCCACCTGCTTTATAAAAAAATGATAAAGGCAGGATAAAAAAAAAAATCTAAAAAAAAAAAAATCACCTGAAAATGTCATTAACTCTCTACCAGCAGTGTTTCTCAATCTTAGCAGCAATAAGAAACCTGGACTTCGGTTGCCAGAATTCTGAGAGCTGGCAAGCTGGAGAATTCTGGGAGTTGAAGTTCAGAGCTAAGAAATTTCCTGACAGTGAGAACCGATTCGCCAGTGGAACAGCTTGCCACCAGAAGGGGTGGGGTGCTCCATCGTTGAAGGTTTTCAAGAAAAGTTGGACAGCCACTTGTTTGAAATGGTTTAGGGCAGGGGTAGGCAACCTTGGCTCTTTTATGACTCATAGCTGGCTCAGGAATTCTGGGAGTTGAAGTCCACGAGTCATAAAAGAGCCAAGGTTGCCTACCCCTGGTTTAAGGTCTCCTGCTTCAGCAGGGGGTTGGACTAGAAGACCTCCAAGGCCCCTTCCAGCTCTTTTATTCAACATCTTCAAATAGCCAAGGTTGAGAAACGCTGCTTTAAAAGGTGACATCCTTCCACAAAAGAGCTTTCCCAGAAAGTTGAGTGAATTTAAGCCATCTCATCCCCTAAAAAGGAGAGATTGCAATTCTAGACATTTGCACACAGGGTCCCCCTCCTGAACTTAAATGTGCCTTTTTTTTTTTTTTTTTTGCTTTCTCCTCAACAGGTCTGGGACCAATCTTCAGTATAAGCGCCACAAGCCTCCACCCTCCCTCCCTGAACTCCAGGAAGAACACAGAAATATCCAGAATTAGGTGCACCACCCATTTCCCCCACGTCACCCCTGACTGGGCTCAAACTCATTCCGGCAATGGCGTTTAATCCAGAAGGACTAAAAGTTCGTTGCGAGGATCGGCTTGCGTTCCAGTGGATTTTCCCTTCCGCCTTCCTGTCCTGCCCTGGGGTCTCCTTTCTCTTTTTTCCCCCTCATCCCTTTTGGGGAGGGGGGGAATGGGGGGGCGGCGGGGCACTTTGTACGACTGCTCCTTTCAAAGCAGTCCCTCGATTTTTCTATTTCGCTTTTACCTACCAAATCTCAAGCGACTGAATTCATCGGTTGCTTCCAGAAAGTTTTTTGGGGGGAAATTTTACCATTCCAAGTCCAAAATTTAAACAACAAAAAAAAACCAACAACAACGCAGCTGTCGGCACAGCTCTGTGATCTGCCGGGTTGCTGGGAAGGAAGGTCATTTTAACAATTCCCCCCCCCCCCTCCCCAACGTGCCTCGACCATCTACGAAACATTGTCCAGCGGTCTCTCGCCCTCTGCATCAAAAGGCTCCCGGGGGGTCTCAAGTGCCCCGTTCATATACACACCCCCACACCCAGGCCTCCACCCTCCCTCCAGGCTTCCTGCATGGCGATTCCCTGCATGCTTCCTGCACCGCCATCCTCTTGACTGCAGCCTCCTTTTCAGTTGCTTTGCTCGATATTGTATCTCCGTAATTTTTCCCGTGTTCAAATAACCGAAGCCTTTTTGAGACGATGCTGCAGCCCGAGAACCATCCTTGTGGAACTGGGGAAACGGAAGGCGCTGGAGGAGGAGGAGGAGGAGGAGGAGGAGGAGGAGGGACGGCTCTCCAGGCCCCCGCTGCAACTGAGCCAGATCGAGGCAGGGCGGATTCCCCATCCGGCACAGGCACACCGAGCGAGAGGCCGGAGCGAGAGCAGGAAAGCTGAACCCGTGGCCCAAAGGAGCAAGGAAAGTCACAGAAGGGGGGGGGACCTTTGTGCCATCCAGAGGAAAAGGCCCCCCCCTCGCTTTGGGAAGTAATGTGGGCAACAAACCAGCTGTGGCTATCCTGCCAGCAACAGCCCCGTCTTGCTTCTCATTCTTGACTCCCACCGAGCTCAAAACAACACCCCTTTTGGGCCGCAATTTGCTTTTGCTCTCTTTTTTTTTGCTCCCAGCTGGCCAGAGCAAATCCACTGTGCCTCTGCTGGCTCCTTTGCCCCCCACCCCCCCAGCACCGCCCTACGGAGAGGCCCCCATCTCTCCCGCTTCATCGGTGCCCTTCGGATTGGGTGGGTGGGGGCTGTTGTGGAGAACAGGGTCAGGCTGATTGCATTCTCCGGTGGTTTTGTCAGGAAACGTGCACGGATTTCCCATCTCCGGAAGTCCCGAAAGTTCTTTAAGGTCTTTGCATCTCATGGGGAAAAAACTCCTTACTAATTAATAATGATAATGATACTAATAATATTAATAATGATTATCCCTCATTACCTGAAAACTCGGCTTCTCGAGCCCTTGAAAGTGTATATCTCTTGTGTCTTGTTTGTGAAATGCTTCCTGCTATAGAATAGCTCAAAACACTGTACATATTTACAAGAAACTTTATATTCGTAAAAAAGAAAAAAAAAGCAATCAAATCAGTTTCTACTTTTTTTATTGTAAAGCGTGCAGGGGTTTTTTTCTCTCTCTCTCTCTTCCAAACCTCCAGCCCTTTTGTTTGAAGGGGCTTCAAAGTCGTCCCCCCCTAATCTGGCAGGTTCCCACGATTAAATTGCGCACTCTTCTTTCTCTTTTGCAAGCCACAACTCGGTAGCGTAAACGAAGGCTCTAGGCGCGACAACCACACTGAAGTTGCCTTTACCGCCTTTTTGTGATCACAAACCCCAGGAGAAGGAACAACTCAACCCCTCACTTGAAAAGTATGGAATTTGCTATCAAGACAATAACCAAATAAGACACTTCACTCTACCGCCTGGCACGGTGCGATGGGCTTTTTCCTTCCGGCTGGGATGTTTTTCAACCTTGTCCTAGAGAGTCTTCCTACGTCACCATTGCCTTTTAAAAATGACATCTGTTTAATTGTAATTGCATAGAATCATGAAATCATAGGCTTGGAAGGGGCCTTAGAGGTCTTCTAGTGTCCAGCCCCTTGCCCAAAGCAGGAATCCTTATACCAATCCTGGACAGATGTGTCAATGACCAAAGGTATTTTGGTCCAGTTGCCCTGATTTAACTTTAAAAAACAAAACAGGACAAATGGCTGTCCAATCTCTTCTGGAAAAACCACCAGCTGTTCCAGGAAATTCCTCTCTCTTTCTAGGCTGATCGCCCTCTGACCAAGCTTCCACCCATTCCTTCTTGCAATTTTCACTTCCCGACAGCTGAATTGGGAAGGTGGTGGCAAACTATAAAATTTTAACGCAACTATCATTTTTCTCAAAAGTTGCTCAATAAAGGTTCAGCCAGGGGCTTCGTTGGGAGGTTGTCCTACCTTCTCCTTGATAGCAGAATCGGCCACCCCAACAGCATCCTGCAACCGGTTGGCCAATCCCACGATTAGGCTGCCTGTTGATTTGAAATCTCAAATTTTATCTTCTCTCCCACCCAGCAAAGCAGCTGAGCCCAAGGTCTCAAGTTCCCTGGCGTTCCCCTGGTCCTATCTGGTGCTTCAGTTTTTCCAAACTTCCTGACACAATTCAGGATGCAAAAACCTCGGGAACACCCTTGGCAAGAGGACAAAAAATTCATCTTATCGCTGTAAATAGCTCTATTTTTTAAACAAAGCCAGTTTATACAGGGTCTGACGGAGTTTCTTCCGACAGGGAGAGCGTGTATATATGTGTCTGTCGGTCTCACCCAGGGTTTCTCGACCTTAAGCAACTTTTAAGAGGGGTGGACTTCAACTCCCAGAATCCCCCCAGAAAACCACCTGTGGACCTCAACTCAACAGAATTCTTCAGGCTGGCTGGGGAATTCTGCACAGTTGAAAAGTCTGCACATCTTAAACCTCGCCAAGATTGAGGAACACTGCTCTAATATAAGCAGTCAGCTTTAAGAAATTCTTTCACATTGTCTACCTAACCATTTATTTACTGGCCCACTGTGGGCAGGTGACCAGCAAGCCCCCCCCCCTCCCCTTTGGATCACCATCCGGCTCATAGACTCTCTGCATTAAAAGAATCAAACTGCTGCTTTGAGTTCTGTTGTGCCTAATCTTGAATGTATAAACGAATGGCAAGCTTGTTTACAAAATGTTCCTTTTTCTTTTGGTGTGCGCACACACACACACAAAAAAAATAATAACACTTATTGGAAGATTCTTGGCTTTGTTCTATCTCTCTCCCTGAGATTTGTAATCTGTCGCTCTTTCCTCAAACGGTGTCCTTGTGTTTCAATTCTTATTTTGCCCTCGAAGAAGCCCAAAATCACGATGAAGTGAAGGCTTTCCTTGGTCATTATCCCCCAGCCCTTTCCCACCTTCTTCTGCCCTTTGAGATTCCACCCTAGCAATTCCCAAGCTTCCCGTTCCCTCCACTTTTTTACAGGAGGGAAGATTGGCTCGCTCAGCCCCACGGATCAGGAAGTAGCTCTCCCCACATCTTTTATCTTAGACCTTATCTTCAAAAATACCAACCTCTCAACATGAGCATAAAACACGGTTGAACTTCGGAGCCAGACGGAAAGAGAAAGGGACAGGCCTGTTTTACACTGTGCCTTTTTTATTTATTAAAACCACTTCCTGAAACAGGGTAAATACCAACGACAAGACAGGTGGACCTAAAATACTGATTCGGAAGGCTGCCGTTGAGCCGATCATTCCAAAGAATAAAACTGCTGCTGGGACGGTTGAAGATCGCCGAGGATCCACAAAACACGTCGAAAGCACCGAGGCTGCTGACTTCCTGCCGGGGCGGGGAGGAGGAAGAGAAAAGAGTGGGCTATTTCCCCCTTCTTTGGTCCTTATTGCTGCTGTGATCAACTAAAAAGGTTTAAAAAAACGACGACGGCAGGTTTGGCCAGACGGCTGACGCAACTGTAGGATTACAAGAAGACATTTTCAGAAGCAACTGATTTGAGACACTCGTCTCCCTTTGGCTGTTGTAGCCGTCCTCTGGCTTTTCGGTAGAAAGCGTTGGAAGAATTTAATTTAATTTTCAAGGTTAATTGGCCTGCGTGGTTTTGGCTGTCCTCTGGGAGTTTCTCCCCCCCCCCTCCTTGCAGGCAGCTTCATGCTTGATTGACAAAACCAGGGCTGATCGTCTGGATCGAAAGAATGGGCGAGGAGAGGAGAAGCAAGGCACCAGCAGTTCAACCAAAACTTTTTCTGGGGGTGGGGTGGGGGCAGTTTAACAGCAAGGATGCTGCTGTCGAGTTTGGGGGCGTAGGGGATCCTCTGGATGGCAATTCCTTCTTCTCTCGCACCGGTCCGCTTTCCCTCCCTCTCGTTCATATGGGCTTGTAGAGCAACGTAGTCACGTATTTCTTCTTGTAACGGTGGGTGGCGCTCAGCACCATCACTCCGTCCTAGGGGAGAGGGAAGAGGGGAGTCCTCTCGGAAGATGGAGCCCCCCTAAAGAAGCCCCCGTGCCGCCGCGAGGGAGGCTGCTCTTACCTTGATGGACAGCGCGTAGAGATGGTTCAACATGACGTGATTCGGTTCCGGAAGGAGAGCTGGATCGCACTAAGCAGAAGAGCTTTGGGTTAGGGATTCGACCTCAAAGGGGCTCCGGGCCCAGGATGCTCATCCTGACCCCTCCGCCCCCCTCCAATACAGGTAGCCCTTGATTTACAGCCATTCGCTTAGTTACAAGCTGACATAAGACCTGTCTTTGCATTTAAGACCATCTCAGGATCAAAATTTAGGCACTTGATAACTGCCGAGTATTTCAGACAGGCGCAGCGTCCTGGGGTCACCTGATTCCCCATTTGCAACCTTCCCAGCCAGCTTCCAACAAAGTCAACGGGGGAAGCCGATTTTGTTTAACAACTGCAATTTGCTTAACAACGCTTAGCAACTGGGGTGAAAAAGGCTGTAAAATCGGGGGGGGGGGGACTCACTTAACCTTCTGCTTAGCAACAGTCCCAATTACGGCCGTTAAGTCAAAGGCTACCTGCATTAAAAGATGTGCTACAAAAACGGGCATCCATTTTTGCAGCTGCCTCCAAGACTCATCTCATCCCCGGCTTTAAGCCGGAAGGCAGCTCGAACAAAAGAGCAGGCAGCACCTGTAAAGTGCCTGAAAAAGCTCTCGTGTTGGGCTTCCTATTTGAAGCAACTCACACACACACACACACACACACACCACAAATGCTTAGCCTAGGCTTCATGCCCCAGAGAACACTGGGAGCTGTAGTTTCAGCACAACTGGAGAAGGCTAAGCCAGGCTAGGAGGGCGAAATGTTTGGCCTGCTTCTCCTCGTGACTTACGGAAATCCCCGTGTCTTTGTTCAGGATGACTTGCAGCAGGTGGGGAGGAAGGATAGGGGGCGACTTGAATCTCTCTTCCGGCTTAACGATGTATGGGTCCTGGTGATACGGTCCAGGGGGCGAGCTTGACAATTCTGGAGGGAGAGAAAGAGGGAGCATACTAGATCAGGGCTTGGCAGCTGTAAGACTTTAAGAATTCTGGCTGGCTGGGGGATTCTGGGAGTTGAAGTCCAGATATTCCAGCAGAGAGAAATTCCCTGAAGGTGGGGGAGCTCCAGTACAAGTCCAAAAGCTCGGAAGAGTAGATCTCTGTTTCAAGGGACCGACCCAGATTAGATCTTGCCATAAACCGAAGCGTCCTCCCTTCCCTTTCGGGTTTTTGCACGCGCGACTTACCTGACACGTCGGAGCACTTTTGGGAATCGACCATTAAAGCATCGAAAACTTCAAAGTCTGTCTTCTTCACTTGGATGATATTGTTGACCGTCCCTAGTTGGCTGGTCACCACAGCCTAGGAAGAGAGTTTGTTAGATCCAGCAGGAAAGCGGGTCAGATCAAACAGAAGGTTAGCCCTATATTGACTTTGGGGGGGGGGGGAGAATTAAGTTTGCCTCGCCAAATATGAGCCTTTCAAATGGAAAGCTCAGCTTAGATTCACGGAAAAGGTGACAAAAGGGGGAAGCTGGTTAAGGAGAGATCCAGCTTGGAACTAGGGAGGAATTTTCCCGACGAAGGGAACAATTAATCAGTCTCTGGAAGTTGTGGGTGCTCCATCACTGGAGGTGTTCGAGAAAAGATTGGGCAACTTTTTGTCCAAGAGGATATAAGGACTCCTGCTTGGGCAGGGGGGTTGGACTAGAAGACCCCCAGGGTCCCTTCCAGCCCTAGGATGCTATAAGTATTCTTCCCTTTGGGGGAGGGAAGGGCAGTCTCTTAAAACCAAGATTATCTTTTCTGAACAGTCTTAACTGACCCAGTTCCTGCTTCCTTGTGACTTTATGAAACACCATCAGGGAACAGCTTTTGCGCATGAAAAGATAGTTAACAGATTTATTGCTACGGATACATAGATGGCAGACAGCCAAATGCCCTTTCAGAAGTGGCTGGACCACAGCTGTTATTTCTCCCGACCAAAACGACCAGAAGAAACTTCAGCTAAGGAAGAGCTGGCGAGCCGGGGAGGATGCTCAACTGACAGGCGTCAAATGCAGAATAATCCATTTATTCCCAGGGTAACGAAACGAAGCAGATTCCCCCGAATAAAGACGGTCTCACCTCTGAAGGATCGTGAGTCCACTGGCCATCCACGAAAAACTTGTACTGGTGTTCGCCTTCTGGAAGATCGAGGATTGCTACGAAATTGTTGTGGCTGTGAAAAAGGGGGGGAATCACAACAGAATAACGTAAGCACAACAAACTGCTGGGTGACCCCCTCTCAGTCCAACAACCCACCTCGCAGGGCTGTTTGTTGTGGGGAAAATATGGAGGAAAGGAGCATTAGATAGGGTCGCTGCCTTGAGTTACGTATAAAGTAATAAAGGCAGGATAAAAATCTAATAACTAAACCGATAATATGCAAGCCTAGGTATTCGTAGGTAATGGATCTTGCTTAGGTCAACCTCCTGCACCCGTTTTCCTTCAGAGGCTAAAAAAGGGAGGAATAAAACAATCAAGCCGGGAGAAAAACAACTCGAGACAAAAGGGCAGTTTGGGAAAGCCAGGCGCCAAAAGAAAAACATTTGCATATTTATGGGATTGATAAAATAAGAAACTGTTCTTATATCTCTGCAGGTCAATTTGAAGAGACTCTGCTCATCTATGAACTAATTTCCCCCTCCCAACACACCCACACACCCCGCAGGAGATGCCTGTTTTCCAGACTCGCAGTTTACCTCCGCGTAAGCGGGAGTTTGCTCCAGTTGTTGAAGGAGCCCGATAAATAAACTTCTTTGCCTCCGCCGGTCCACCGGAAGACGGTCGGCTGAGCTTGTGTGGGGGCTTTGTCGCTCACTTCTAGGTCGTGTTGCCAAGCCAGGAATTCGTCTTTCTCCATCGGAGCCTAGAAAACAGCAGACTTCGGGAAACTGGCCACGATCGTTCCGAGATCATAGCTTGCGAAAGGCCAGGGTGGCATCTGAGGCCTTGCCACGTGTCCCACCCACCCCAAAAAAGAGATGGAAAGGACTCCGGACAGGGTCTGCTGTACATCAGCACACCAAGGACGACAGCTCGGCCTCCTTGCTATCATAGACGCTCCTCAACTTACGACTGGTTGCTTAATGACTGTTCAAAGTTACGACAGACTCCCCAAAAGCTACTTATGACCCGGGTTCAAAGTTCCCGCATCCCTTTTCCCGCCGTCCCATGACCACATTTTGGGCGCTTCGGCAACTGGCCTGCATTTACAGCAGTTGGCTGCACCCTGCAGTCATGGGACCACCCTTGACAACGCCTTTTTGCCAGAAACTGACATTTGAAGGTAGTCCTCAATTCGTTTAGTGGCCGCTCAAACTTACAACGGCACTGGAAAAGAAGTGACCCATGACCATTTTTCAGACTTAGGACTATTGCAGCATCTCCGGGGTCAGGTGGGCAAAATTCAGAGCCTTGCCCACTGACTTGTATTTATGACGGTCACAGCGTCCCAGAGTCGCACAATCCCCTTTTGCGACCTTCTCACGAGCAAAGTCAACGGGGGAAAGCCGGATTCACCTACTTTCATTTCTTCTGCACTGAACAGGTCAGCATCTTCGGGACTGTCCATCAAAATCTTGGGCCTGTCTCCATCCTTTGATCCCCCAGGGCTGTCCCTTCGAGCTGACTTATGGCCTCCGTGGCGCTCTACGCCAGACCGTTCGCTGCTGGTGTTCCCCATGGCTCTTCAAGGGTCAGGGATGGCGGCTGGCAGACGGATAATCTTTATTTTGATCACCAGCTAGTCGCCCTTGTAAAAGAAGGAAGAAAACAGGGCAGAAGAATCCAGACCATAAGAGGAGAAAACAAACTTTATCTACAGAAAACAATCAAATGCCTGGACGGGAATGCATTGTGCCGAATAAGAGGGCACGTCCCCTCCCCCAAAAGGTTAATTCACCTCAATTGATCTTCCATCGTTTATCAATCACTTAATGACCCACAAGAGATTTACTGGCTCCCTTTTGACTCTTCCCCCCCCCCTGCAACTATTTTTACATACTCATCAATCCTTAGGAGTCAGTATTGGCTTCTTTCGGGGGACCCTGCCCTGGATTCCCAATTTGGCAAATATTTGAATGGGAAAAAATGAACCATCGTCATCATCAAGAAAGACGCCACCATGGTGCTCATCAAGATCATCGTGATCAAAATCATCACCACGATCATCAAAATCATCAAGAAGCCATCAGCATCATCATCATCAATCAAAATCATCAAGAAAGAAGCCACCATGGTTGATCAAGATGATCATGATCAAAATCATCATCAAGAAGCCATCATGATCATCAATCAAAATCCTCATTAAGAAAGAAGCCACCGTGGTTGATCAAGATCATGATCAAAATCCCCATCATGATCATCAAGAAGCCATCATCATCATGATCATCAATCAAAATCATCAAGAAAGAAGCCATCATCGTGATCATCAAGATCATCATGATCAAAATCATCATCATGATCATCAATCAAGATCATCATCATCATCAAGAAAGAAGCCCCCCACCAGGATGCTTTTTTGCGCTGGGCTTTTTTCTTTTTTGGGAGGATTGTTGCGAAGTTACAAAAGGGCAACTCCTCTCGCCCCCCCCCCTCCCCGTTACAAAACCCGGGCAGCCCAGGGAGGGTCGGGCCAGCCATGGAGACCCAAGAGCCCCCGGGCGAAAGCTCCTCCCGTCCTACCTCGCGGGGCTGTCGTGAGCGCGCTCCTGGCGGGGCAAAGAATGCGCCGACGAAGCAGCCCCCAAACCCCGCCCCTCCCAAACCGGGCGCCGCGCTCTGCACACGCTCAGGAACCCCGAAGTCACCTCGCGTCGGGAGAGCCGCCGATTGTGAGCGCCACCCGGCCACATTCAAAGCCCGGAGAGGCCCCCGCGGCTCACGCCGGTCTCCTCCTTCCCGTCCCGGCTAAAGAGCAGCAACAGCCGCCGGCGTAGATGGCAAAACTACCCGGTTCCTTCGCTTCCGAGCCGTCGCTTCCGGCCCCGCCCCCTTTGGTAGGTCTCTCCTTCCGGTTCCTGTAAGAGGCCGTCGCATACGACGCTTAGGAACGCGCCTGCGCGTCAGAGTCCCCCCCCCGCGCGCGCCGGCCGGAGTTAAAGGACTTCGCTTCGCTCTGGGCTGCAAAGACCGCAGGTGGCCAGGAGGGGGCGGCAAAGGATTAGGAGTTCCATGCTGGCCGAGGGACCCGGGAAAGGCGGAGACTGTTGGATGCTGTTAAAAGGTATTAAAAGGTTAAAAGGCTGCCGGCTATTCCAGGTTAAGTTTCCTCGTGCAATTGACCGATGGGGATTTTGTGAATGCCGACGGCGTTCAAGGGCTGTTCCAGACTGTTTTGGGCTTGCAGCCAAGGCGCCTATCGCAATTGGGACCAATCTCTGCTTTCTTTTGCTCTAGCCCCGGGGTAGGCAACCTTGGCTCTTTCATGACCCGTGGACTTCAACTCCCAGAATTCCTGAGCCAGCCACGCTGAGGGGAAAGGGAGAGGTTTCCATACTGAGCCATGCTGGCTCAGGAATTCTGGGAGTTGAAGTCCACGAGTCATGAAAGAGCCAAGGTTGCCTACCCCTGCTCTAGTTTATAGTGACTTTTCTGCTTGCAGGTCTTTGCATTGGGTGATTTTTCAAAAACGAAGGGGACTCGCTCGCTGAACAGTCACTTCATTTCTTATCCAAAAGTTCTTGTCCTAATTATCCACGTAAGCCCAAAATGACCTGCTCACTCACCCAGACTCCATATAGCCGCTCGCCTTAGGATAGGGAGGCAGATGGTATATATATATATAACATGTTTAAATGTCTGTTAGGTATGTGTACACTTTTGAGGGCCCTAAACAGAGGCCCGGGTGGTAAAAATGGTACGTTTCATTTGCACTTCTGTTAGTCTCATTCTCTCCATTTATTTGGCTTTTTCAGCCGGTGCTCTTTCCATGCCAAACTGCTAATGCACCTGCTGTCTATTTACGCATCCTCTGGGGAGAGAAAGCAATGCCGGGCACGTCAGGGCTGCACAAATTACATAATCTGGGCCATTAATGCCGTGCACATGATGTCCTGGGGCTTCTTAGGGACCCTTTTGGCTTGGACACACTATTTCGTACAGGTGACAATGTTGGGAGTTCAAGTATTTGCCAACTGATGAACACCCAGTGGAAATCTGGTATGCTCCTGTCTGATAGGCACCTGTTAAATTTCTTTCTTCGCCGATGTCAACGAGAACAGAGCACAGAGCCAGTTTGGCCTAGTGGTGAATGCACTAGGCAGGAAACTGGGTGACGGTGAGTTCTAGTCCTGCCTTAGGCGTGAAAACTGGCTGGTTGACTTTGGGCCAACTACCAGGAGACAGTGAGTTCTAGTCCTGCCTTAGGCATGAAAGCCAGCTGGGTGACTTTGGGCCAGTCCCTTTTTCTCAGCCCAGCCCACCTCACAGGTCTGTTGTGGGGAAAAATAGGAGGAGGAAGGCTTATTAAGTAGGTTCAATGCCTTGAGTTATTTTAGAGAGAATAGAGGCCGGATACAAACAAAAAAAAAACAAATAACAGCAGGAGATTTTGAAAGGGTCAAAATCCTTGTAATTGGACACCTGAGCGGATCTGGAATCTTTTTTCAGAAGACAGTTCTCTTCGCTCACTCGCCTGCTTTAATAATTCCCCAAAAGCCTGGATGGCATTCCAGTTTTTTGGCAGCACCTACTCAGGCAGGAAAAGTGGAGGAGGCGAATTCTATCTGCAGCTCAGCTTCCGGCCTTCAGCCACTCAAGAATAATTATAGATTTCCGGCGTTGGTTCCTGTGCTGGGCAAATGGGCAACTTTCCGGAGCCCCTAGTAGCAGAGGAGAAAGAAAGCTGGTGTAGCAAGGAAGCGGACCAAACATTACGCTAAGTTTTGTAAGTGTCTAATTGTGGTGTATATATGTATATATCCTACAACTGAGAGCCACTCTGGTTTGTTGGTTAAGGTACTGACCCAGGAACCAGGTTGTGAGTTCTAGTCCTGCTTTAGGCAGGAAAGCCGGCTTTGTGACTTTGGGCCAATCACCGGGAGACGGTCCCCAATCAATCCTCTCTGTTGCTATTCTGGAGGAAAACTGAAAGAGCCTCAGTCCAGCTTCACATGCCCCCATGGAGGGCTCAACCACACCTTGGTGCATGGGCAGATTTTGGCCTTCCAAGGCAACTGGTCCGTGGGCTTTGCTACTTGTGGAACAAAAATCTCTCACGACGCCTCTGGTCTAAATATCTGCTGGGTTTTCACCTCCTCTACTGTAGAGACCTGGGTATATTTAGCAGGCCTTCTCTAGGATTACAGACCAGGATACTGCAGTCGCTGCTCTTTGACAGCTCAGCTGTCCTTAAGACCCGAAGGAGGCTATATCCAGGGACGCCGAGCATCAGTTTTCGGCCTCCATCTGTCTCTGCCTGTAAACCCTGCCAAAGGGGAGAGGCAAGAGGGGGCAGGGATTTGGGACTTGAGTCATCCAGAAATGCTCGGGATGGTAAGGGAGAATTCGACAGCTGAAGCCCACGGCCAGAAGGCTCTCCAGCCCGGCTCTTAGGACAACAAAATAGTGTCAGACCGACTTGCTAATTACAGCTCCAAAGGTGTTGGATGGCCTGACGTCCAACATACCATCTGGGGACGGCCGTTGTGTTTGTGTGCAGCCTCAACCAGGCCATCCCATCGAGCCAAACTCTTTCAAGCTTGGTTTTCAATGAGTTCCGCACAAACCTCGTAAATTTTGTTAAGAGTTTGAGTTTGGTGGTGTGAACCTTGCCGATTCCCACGTTCTTCCCAAGTCCTGCGTCATCAAACCCAAGAGACAAGAATGTCATGGGCGGGTGGCGGCTGGCCTTGTCCAGGCAACTGTGAGTGGGTTGTCTGCACAGGTAACCCTTGACTTAACAACTGTTCGTTTGAAATTACGACGGCCCTGAAGAAAGTAACTTTAGGGCTGGTCCTTGAACTTAGGACCGTCGCAACATCCCCGGGGACATGTGATCCAAATTCAGACACTCAGGAAACAGCACGTGTTTACAGCAGTTGCAGCATCCCGGGGTCATGGGCTGGCTGGGGAATTCTGGGAGTTAGCATCGTAGCCAAGGTGGAGAAACACCGCTCTCAATTATGGCCGACCAACCCTAATTCAGAGTTCCTCAGTCTGCGCCGAAATGACGGAACGAAAGCACATACAAACCAATGCAAGTTTATTCTTTGAATTCCTTAACAAGCAGGACTTTTCATTCTGCAACCTGACCAGGGATCTTGAATCCCCCCCCCAGTTCATGACCACGAAATCACCTTTGAAAAAACGTAAAATAAAATAGGTGGAATACCTGAACCTTTTCCTATAATCCCTGCTCGTAAACCAAGAGACATTACATTTCTCACTGCCATCCTGTCAAGGATTTCTGGATCCGGCACCACAAAGGGAAAGATTGGATAATTTTTTTCACGGTAACAACATACTTGACCTGATTAAATTTCAACTCCCTTTTTCGTGCCTTTGGTTTCTCGGTTTCTCAACGTCACCCCACCACCACCAAAACCGTGTCTTTCGCAGAAGTCCAAGGAGCAGATGATAACTTCGATTTCCAAGCGTTGATTTCCTTCCCTTTACAGAGTAAATAATCCCCCAAGACATCGAAAGTGATGGGTTTATCCCCCCCCCACCCTCATTCCTTCAGGTAGCCACCACGGAGTTGTCGTTCTCTGGATAATGCATGCTTTCTGCAACTCGCAGACAGAAAGGGGTACACAGCCAGTGAAAAGAGGCAGGATCAAAACAGACGCATGACAGATATTGTAAGGCGGGTCAGACTCATTCCTGCCCAAGAGAGAGAGGAAAAAAAGAAGGAGGTTGAAAACATCTCCTGGGTGTGGATGTGTCCTATGGATGCCTTCACCTGAGATGCTACATTGGGTTCATGGATGGAAGTCAGAAGTCCCAGGAAACTCCACCTGTGGGACAGACCTTGCATCCATTCACCGATCCGGAAAAGTTCAGCCAGCAAACATCTCCAGCCTGGGAGACAGCCGAGTGCAAAAGCCGAGGACAGGGCAGGCGAGCTACACGTTACACTTCTGGCGTGCAGGAAAAGGGAGCAGAGGATTTGCCAAAAGGGAGTTCCATAAAGACGTTCTTTAAGAAAGACGTATAATTATTTCCCCCCCCCCTTCTTTTTTCCTGTTTTCGGTTCTTCGGAGGGGAGGGAACTGCTAATCTCTCGACACAGGGAACCCACCGCCAGCAAACGATCACTGGAGATTTCCACCTGTGCCTCGAGCCAGGTTTGTAGGATAAAAATGGAACAAACCAGATCTGGTTTGTTGAGCATCCGTGTTTACATTTTCTTCCTGGGGACAGACCCTCCCCCTGTGTCACGGGCCTGGAGATGGGATACGTTCACATCCCGCATCTCTGCATTCAGATGGTGTGCTGCATTGCAGGAAAAAAATAATAAAAATGAAAATGAAAATGGGGAGGTCCAGGAGAAGGGAAGGGAGGAGAGAGGGGGAGAGGGAAAAAAAGAGGCAGAGAAATTGAGAAAGTTTGACCTAGTAAATTATTCATCCACCGGGCCTAATGGACACATTATTTAATGGTTTGTGTTCCCATTAAACAAACAATCCCTTGCATTAGCAGCTCCCTGCCCTTTTGAATCAAAAGCATTAAGTTCCCATTGACAGATGTCACCTCCCCAACACTAAAAGCTGAATTATGCATCAGGGCAGTCTAAAGAAATCAATATCCAGCCCACTTGTCAGGAAATGACTCCAGCTTTGCTAATGTTGGAACCTTTTTTTTGGGGGGGGGGGTTTCCAATGTTTTCATAAAACCCCTCCAGCTTGAACATGGAATGCGCCACCAGGCTCTCCTTAGGCCATTTCTGGAGATGCTACAGGATGAACTTGGAACATCAGGGATGACCCAGCAGTCAACCCTGGCAACAGTTGACCCTGGAGAAATTACTGGCCACAACTGATCCCAATATTTCTGTTCTTAAGCGAGACATTTGTTAAGTGAGTTTGGCTCCGTTTTACCACCTTCCTTGCCACATTTGTGAAGGAAATCACCGCGTTTGTTCAGTTAGTAACACGGTCGCTAAGCGAATCTGGCTTGCTTCCCTGTGGATTTTGCTTGTCAGGAGGTCACTAAAGGGGATCACATGATCCCAGGACACTGCAACCGTCGTAAGTACACGCCAGTTGCCAAGCCTGTGAATTTTGATCCTGTGAGCACGGAGATGGCTGCAACGGTCGTAAGTGTGAAAAGCGGTCATAACTCGCTTTTTTTCAGTACCGTTGTAACTTTGCTCACCAATTTGCAAGTCAAGGACTAACTGTGTTCCCAGGGTTGCCAACTGACCGGGAAAGATGGGGCCCAAATCGCTCCGAAGCAAATAAGCGAGGCATCTTTCTGCCGGGACGTGATTTATGCCATTTTATTGCTGTCTCTTCTCTTTGCAAGCGGGCGCTTTTCCAAATGAAGAGTTTCGCTCGCAGCTGCCCATTTTCATTTACAAGCAGGCCTCTGGGGGCCCCCAAAGCTATTCTGGTAAATCATGATCAGCCTCAAGCAGAGATTCTTCCAAGCAAGGCTGAATTAGCACTCCCTGGAGTCTCTCCCTCGTCTTCCCAGCCTTCAACTTTCTTGGCGACTCGATTCCAGCGTGATGGCAAATTGCAGGCATCGTTTTGAATGCTGGTATCCTGGCTCTTCCACTTTGCAATCCCCTGCTAAGCTAAGGAACTTCACACACAGATATTTTGGTGTTTTTTTTTTGCAAGAATCTCACTCCCTCGTGAAATGCTTCTTATTTGCCAGCTGCCCCTTCATTAGCACCCGTGTTAACAATCATCTTTCAGACATGTGCAGTCTTCTGCTCGCTTAATTAAAGGCGCTCTTTGAGTTGATGGAGTCCCTCTCAAAGCAATTAATCCAACCGCCACCAACGGGAAAAGCATGAACATAAAAACGTAGCTCTGAAGAGCTGGAAGGGACCCTAAGGATCATCCAGTCTAGTGGTTTGCAAAGATGGCAACTTGGTAGTATGTGTAGACTTCAACTCCCAGAATTCCCTAGCCAGCATGGGTTGACTTCATCTCCCAGAATTCTCTAGCTAGCAAAGGTGAACCTCCAAGGTCCCTTCCAGCTTCTACTCTACTCTACTCTACTCTACTCTACTCTACTTCTGTTCTACTCTACTCTACTTCTGTTCTACTCTACTCTACTCTACTCTACTCTACTTCTATTCTATTCTATTCTATTCTATTCTATTCTATTCTATTCTATTCTATTCTATTCTATTCTATTCTATTCCTTAAATCTCCTTTTTTGCGATTTGGCTGTGAACGTGATTTTTCTCCTTTCCACCCACAGAGGGCGCTGAACACAGCTCGCCCCAGCGAAGAATGGAATGAAAACACAATTAAAAACCTAATTAAATGTGCATTAGGAACACAAGTGCTTCCTCCATCGGTACTTTGATAAGCAATGTCCATTGATTACGTGGATAAGGCTTGGAGCGTCGCCGAACTCCGAAGCCCCTTCCCCAAGTCACTAATCCGTCAGGCTGCAGGTGCCACCCCCCACCCCAACAGCCTTTCCTACGAGGTCAACTCATGAATGCAGCCTTGCATGTGAAGCTGCTCCCCTTTCTATGGGTATCATTGTGTTATTAGATGAATGAAAGGGGTGGAAATGCAAGGCAATTCTGGTTTTGGCCTTCTGATGCAAGCTCCACCCAATTTTTATGGGAATTGAACCATCGAGGCCCCCGTCACGATTTTTTTTTTTTTGAACGACTGCCAGTCCTTCGACTTACAACAGTTGATTTAAAGACCATTCAAAGTCACAACAGCACTGGGAAAAAAATGACTTAGGGCCATTTTTTCACCCTTACGACTGTTGCAGCCTCCCCATGGTCACGGGATCAAAATTCGGACGCTTGGCAACCGACTCATACTTACGACGGTCGCAGCGTCCAGGGGCCACCCGATCCCCTTTTGTGACTGTCTAACCAGCCAAGCCAGAGTAAGGGGAACATTGGATAACATGCCGTAAGCAGTCAAAAGCACAAAATAAACATACAACAGGCTAATCCAGCCCAAGAAATGTGATCACATCCCTCTAACATTCTCATTTATTCTTCATTTTTCGCTCTCCTAATTTGCCCCAGAAATTCACCAGGTGGATTGCAAAGCTAGCAAAAACCTTAAAAGTGCAAAACACAAGACGTGCCCCAAACTCTTGGGGGGGGGGGGAAGAAAAAAAAGAAAACCCCTATAACAGCACAATGCCATGGAGACATGCAGGGAATAAATAGTGCTGAAAAGAGAAACGTAGTACAGCCGGGGTCCCCCCACCCCCAGGGCCGTGGCCCTCCACCAGGTGTGGCAGACAGGCTTTAAAAGGGTGATAATTTGATAGAAGTGCACTCAAAAACTCGTGGGCTCTAGCAGCAGGGTGGTTAGCTGTTCTTTCAATTCCCCTGGCTGCTGAAATTTTGCATTAATCGTCGGGCCTCGTCCAGCTTAATGGAAAAAAATAATAATGTTAATTTCCTTCCTCTCCTGATCCTAACCGTGCCCTCTTTGGCAGAGATGTTAGCTTTCCACAGACAATAATTGCATCAGATCCTATTTTGAAAGGAGAGAGAGCGAGAAAAGAAGACGAGAAAAGAGGAAAGTCTTGAAAGCTTCTCAATATCGTTGAACTACAACTTCCATCGTCCCTGATCACTAACTATAGGAGAGCCAGTTTGGTCTAGTGCAGGGGTAGGCAACCTTGGCTCTTTTATGACTCGTGGACTTCAACTCCCAGCATGGCTGGCTCAGGAATTCTGGGAGTTGAAGTCCACGAGTCATAAAAGAGCCAAGGTTGCCTACCTCTGGTCTAGTGGTTAAGGTGCTAGCCTAGGAACCAGGAGACAGTGAGTTCTAGTCATTTGTCCAGAATAGTAACGGGGTATCTTGCTTGATCGTGAGTTGGACAAGGTCCCTTCCAACTCTATTATTCTGTATTAGCCACGAAAACTGACTGGGTGACCCTGGGCCAATCACCAGGAGACTGTGAGTTCTAGTCCCATTACAGATGGGCTGGCCGCTGGAATCAATGTACTGTATATAGCCGCCCATCTCCTAGCGGTGATTTGGGGGAAGTGCACGAAAGATTAAAAGCCAACAAATGCAATAATCATCAATACATTTCTTGAACAGATATGGAGACAGGCTACCCATCTCTAGAGCCCAGGAGAGGAAAAGGAGACAGACCTACAAATAACAACAATTTGAGGTAGGCGATGAGCTCTTTGGGCCCAATTTTATATCATCCCCATCTTGATTGATGGACCAATTTGGGAAGGCCGGGGTTTTCTTTTATGGCGGGGGAATCAAACCCCTCTGAAGGACAGCAGGTCGGGAGATGAAACATTTATTGCACCGTGTTTTGCTTTTTCTATGGAGAGATTAAGGTAGCCAGGTGGGAATCCCTGCTTCTCTGATGCCCACCACAACCTTGTCTGTCAGGGCTGGGATGGAAGAGATGGGCCCAAAGGTAGCCCCATAGCACCTGATTTGGTTCTTCTCTTGGTTCCGTCCAGCTCTTAAGCTTTCTACCACTCTGGTCTGTTTGTAATCGCTATCCAGGGTACTGAACCTGCTTCCTAAATCCTGCTTTATTCACTTGTCTATCCTACTGTATATCTATATTATCTATAACTACCGTATTTCCCCGAAAATAAGACCCAACCAGAAAATAAGCCTTAGCATGATTTTTTCAGGACGCTCCATAATATAAGCCCCACCCCCAAAATAAGCACCGGGTTAAGATTGTCAGCATTTAGTACCGTATTTTCCCAAATATTTCCCCTACCTGGAGAATAAGCCCTAATGCGTCTTTAATATAAGACCTGGTCTTATTTTTGGGAAACACGGTATATCATTTATATCATCTATATTTACTTTCATCCATCCATCCATCCTTGGAGAACCAGGGACAGTCCGTTGTGTTGAGAAATCTAGAACCTGTCAGCTGTGTTGAATCTCCACTACCCATCCCTCCCCTAGGCTGGGCTGGAGGGTGGGTGATGGGTATTGCAGTCCTGCTACACACCAGCCTGAGGACAATGAAATACAAGCCACGGGCAACCCAAGCCGGCTTACCGTAGTATAATGGACAATACAAAGGATTGCAATCATCAAGATACCGATCAGAATTGACGCGATGGCGACCAGCAGAGCCGTGTGGCCCAGCCTTCTCGATCCTTCGATGTCGCCTTGATTGTAGCTGTTTAACGCCTGCAGAAGAAACAAGAAGAAGGCAGATGCAGCCCAGGTTAAAAATCTCGACATTAGCGTCACCTGTTCTATTACACGTGGAGCTCTGGAGACAAAAACATAGGAAGAACAGTTGCAGGAATTGGGGATGTCTAGTCTTAGAGAAGAGAAAGACTTGGGGCGACATGATAGCAGTGTTCCAGTATTTGAGGGGCTGCCACAAAGAAGAGGGGGTCCAGCTATTCTCCAGAGCACCTGAAGACAGGACAAGAAGTCAAGGATGGAAACTAATCAAGGAGAGAAGCAACCTGGAATGAAGGAGAAAGTTCCTAACAGTGAGGACAATTAACCAGTGGAATTGATTTCCTTTAGAACAGGGGGTCTTCAAACTTGGCCCTCTTATGACTTGTGGACTTCAGCTCCCAGAATTCCTCAGCCAGCTGGGAATTCTGGGAGTTGAAGTCCACAAGTCATAAGAGGGCCAAGTTTGAAGACCCCTGCTCTAGAAGTTGTGGGTGCTTCATCACTGGAGGTTTTCAAGAAGAGACTGGACAGCCACCTGTCTGAAATGGGATAGGGTCTCCTGCTTGAGCAGGGGGTTTGACTAGAAGACCTCTAAGGTCCCTTCCAGCTCAATTCGGATTGAAAGGTCAAGATCCATTCGGGCACTTCTGCGTAGGAGGGCATTCTCACAAACAGCTTGGCTGGATAGCCGTTGGGCCTCCTTGGAATTGGCCCCCTTCTGTGATCAGAAAGTTGTTAATTACTAGCTGAACAACGGCAGCGAATCCCTCAACCACTGTGACAAGCAAGGTCGTATAAACGGGGCAAAACTCCCAATGTCACCGTAAAAAGGGACGTAGGGCCCTTTTTCACACTCGCGACTGTTGCGGCCTCCCCCGGGTCACATGATCAACATTCAAACGCTTGGCAATTGACTCGTATTTATGACAGTCACAGCGTCCGGGGGTTTGTGTCCTGCGATCCCCTTTTTGTGATCAACAGGGGAAGGGCCGGATTCGCTTAACGACCGTGTGACTCATTTAACTGCTCTGGCGATTTGCTTAACAATGGTGGTGAGAAGAACGGTGTCGTAAGATGGGGCAAAATTCAATGAAAGAAATGAAACAGAAGTTTCGGGCTTGGCTGTGGTCGCAAGACGGCCTGGATTTGCCTGGATTCGGGGGGGGGAATAAAATTGCACATCCGAGCCAGTTACGAGGCCCCACCCAAAGCCCAAAAGCAGCCATTTAAATCCAGCCCTCTGAGGACACGTCTGCCCTCTCCTCCCGGCCCTCCGAAACATGGAGAAGCCGCTTAACACAAACAGATCTCATTACCGCAAGGGGACACCGAAGCAGCCAACGCAGGCAACCACTCAAAGTCCCAAGGGCCGGGCCTGAAAACTTGACCCTCTCTGAGGTCAAGAGTAAGATGACCCTCAGAAGGGAGGGGCTCTTTGAATTGAACTGGGAACAGAGATCTGAAACACTTTAAAAAAAATTATAGAGGTAGTCCTTGGTTTATGGCCACCGTTGAGCCTGGAATCTCTGTTGCTAACTGAGACATTGGTTGAAGGGAGTTTCGTTCCGTTTCGCCACCTTTCTCATCCCGGTCGTTGAGCGAGTCTGTTGTTGTTAAGCAAGCCACGCGGTTGATAAGGGCCCCATTTTGCAACTCGCCTTGCCACGTTTGTTAAGCAAATCGCCGACGTTTGTTAAATTAGTCACACGGTTGTGAAGTGATACCTGGCTTAGACCAAGGCTCTCCAAACGTAGCAACTGTAAGACGTGTGGACTTCAACTCCCAGAATTCCCCAGCCAGCCCTCAATCCTGGGAATTGAAGTCCACAAGTCTTAAAGTTGCTATGTTTGGAAACCCCTGGAGTAGACTATTTCAAGAATAGATGAGACAACCATTTGACCGGTATGGTATAAGGTCTCCTGCCTTGAGCGAGGGGTTGGACTAGAAGACCTCCGAGGTCCCTTCCGGTCCTATGATTCAATAATAATAATAATAATAATAATAATAATAATAATAATAATGAGGAGGAGGAGGAAGAGGAAGAGGAAGAGGAAGAGGAAGAGGAAGAGGAAGAAGAAAAAGAAGAAGAAGAAGAAGAAGAAGAAGAAGAAGAAGAAGAAGAAGAAGAAGAAGAAGAAGAAGAAGAAGAAGAAGAAGAAGAAGAAGTAGTAGTAGTAGTAGTAGTAGTAGTAGTAGTAGTAGTAGTAGTAGTTGGAAGGGACCTTGGAGGTCATCTAGTCCAACCCCCTGCTCAGGCAGGAAACCCGATACCATTTCAAACAAATGGCTGTCCAATCTCTTCTTAAAAACTTCCAATGTTACAACTTCTGGAGGCAGGTTGTTCCACCGATTAATTGTTCTCACTGTCAGGAAATTCCTCCTTAGTTCCAGGTTGCTTCTCTTTTTGGGTAGTTTCCATCTGTTGCTTCTTGTCCTGCCTTCAGGGGCTTTGGAGCATAGATTGACCCCCCGCACTCTTCTTTGGGGCAGCCCCTGAGATATTAAGTTATAAGCAGTGCAAAAAAAAGGGACTGGGACTGGAGCTTGTTCCCCGTCCATTCTCCCAGCAGATCCGTTTTGCCCAACGGGGCAATTTTATATCCCAGCTTGAAAAAGCATCACCACTGTCTACACGCCTCAGAGGGCTTCCCGTTGCAGAAACTCAGAAAGCGAGCGCGTGGGTGGAGGAGCTACCCCCGCCCCCCCATCTCGCCAATCTTGCCTGCCTGCTTCCACATCCTGTTGGCTGAGGAGCTTCCCTCAGATCTCAGCCGGTTTGGCAAGGCTCCCTGTATCTCCCGGAGCTTCAAAAGATCCCGTTGTCTCTTTTCTAAGTAATGCACTGCAGTCCATTAAGGCTGCTAAATGCCTTAGTCTTGTTTTTGGCCCAGATCCTTCTCCCTGTCTGGGATCAATAGAGAAAGGGTGTGACTTCTGCTGCAGAGGGCTGCAACCACAATCTGAGCTTGTGCTGGTCACCCCCAAGGACCAGACGGGGTCCACCTCTTCTCCAAAGCACCTGAAGGCAGGACAAGAAGCGAGGGATGGAAACTAATCAAGGAGAGAAGCAATTTAGAGAAATCTCCTGATAATTAGAACAATTAATCAGTAGGACGGGACGGGACAGTCACTTGTCTGGAGTGGTCTAGGTTAGGATCTCCTGCTTGAGCAGGGGGTTGGACTAGAAGACCTCCAAGGTCTCTCCCAACTCTGTTATGCCTGTTCTGTGTTCTATGCAAGTAAGGTGAGCCCAGCCAATAAGGGAACTCCACTGTGTCACCACCAGCAAAAGAGTGATTATAATCCAAGCAGGATTTGGGGGAAGAATTATATTCTAATCTCAAATCCTAGATCTGCAGGGCCTGTTGTTTATATTGCATAGTTACAGGTGCTTCATCACGGGAGGTTTTCAAGAAGAGATTGGACAACTGTTAGAACGAAGAAGAAATTTCCTGACACTTAGAACAATTAACCAGTGGAACAACCTGCCTCCAGAAGTTGTGGGTGCTCCGACACTGGAGGTTTTTAAGAAGAGACTGGACAGCCACATGTCTGGAATGGTATAGGCAGGTTTCCTGCCTGAGCAGGGGGTTGGACTAGAAGACCACCAAGGTCCCTTAGTTTGTCTGTTTGTGACTCACCATCTTCCATAACGTGGTAAGCCACCTTCAATGGCTGTATGGATGGAAGACATTTGGCCTATTGTGGATATATCTCATCAACCATGGTTAAGAGTCTTCCACTTACAGACCACAAGTGGGATCAGACTTTCTAGCGCTAAGCACTTGTTAAGTCAGACACCCAATGTTGCGTCCTTTTTGCCAGGTGCTTAAGGGAATCACACAATTGTGAAGCCGATCCAGGGTCCTCCATTGGCTCCGATTGTTGGAAGCTGGCTGGGAAGGCCACAGACGATGATCCCAGGACCCCAGGATGCTGTGAACATCATGAATACATGTTGGTTGCCAAGCAACCACATTTTGATCATGTGACCCTGGGGAGGCCACAATGTTTGTAAACGTGAGGACCGACTGGTGGCTGTTTCCCCATCATGGTCATCGTGCTAGAAAAAGTGGGACATTTACTGATTCCTATATTTATCTATCCTCTTTCCACTCCAGTGAATATTCAGGGTGAAAAGCAAAGCTAAAGGACGACAACATTCGAAATTTCAAACACCGACGAACATAACCACCAAAACAGGCCGCCATAACAGCCTCGAAAGCGATGAATCCTTTACAGCTTGTCTAAACAAATCAATCCAGAGCGCTTCCTCAAGACGGGCTGGACTAGAAGACCTCTAAGGTCCAATTCAGTTACTCTGTTCTGCAATGAAACAAATTACCAGGCTCAAAATTATCTTATTTTGGACACGTTAGGTGAAGGCCCAGCTTCCTTCAGAAGTATATAATTCAGGATGAGGTGGAAGGAGAAAGCCTAGAATATAGAAGAATTGGTAGGGACCTTGGAGGTCTTCTAGTCTCAATGGCAAGAGATTATGCCATTCCAAACGAAGGGCTGTCCAATCTTAGCACCTAAGAATAGAGGCAGTTCAAAGAAGGATAATTTTTTTGTGTAAAATTAGGGGTTTCAGGACTGATCAATATTTGCTAAATTCAGTATTTCTAGACGTATCTTTCTGAAGGCTTCAGTCACGATTGGTATAACAACGGAATTCCTTTCCCATAAGTACAACTTTGATCAGCAAATCCTGGTGCTTTGTAATTCCCCCCCCCCTCAATTGTTTCTCTTTCATCCTAGCATCTCCCAAAATAGCAACATCAATGAAACTGGGTTTTCTTCCTTTCAACCAAACTGCGCAACCACAAAAATATACACTCCCAAGGAGATTCCACCATCTGTCTTTAGAACTGAGGTATACCTTGCTTGGCATCGGGATAGGAGACCACCAGGTCAGCCCAGAGCGATATAGGCTGGAATCTAAACCATAGCAAAACAGAAGGAAGCAACGCAAAGTATTCTATCGTTTCCAAGAAAATAGCACAGCCTGGTCTTTTTTGCTTCCAAGTGATGTTTGAGGAAATGAAGGACGTTAAATGGGTTCTAGGTGACCTGAAATTTTAAGATCGCTTTTTTACATTTGCAAATGTTCATCAACACACAAGAATGTCCTGGCATGGATCTTCCCCAAAGGCTGATATTCCAGAATCTTTCAGCATAAATGGCAAAAGAAGGGCTAAGAGAGAGACAGACAACAGCAGTTAAAAGTGAACTTCAAGCTGTCTCCAATTCCCACATACAAACTGGTTAATGGAAGTATTTCAACCTTTGGTGGCAACCCGGAGATTTGAGACTTCCTGTCCGGAGAATTCCTCAGGATCTCTTCTATAAATTCCCCCACCTTTGCAATTTTAATACTTCTACCCCACTTCCAGACTTGAGCTGGGGGCATTTAGGGCAAAAGCACCCAGTGCCCAGCCCCACACGCTGATAAAGCGCAATCAAGCAAACCAACCCCGGGTATATTTTGGAGAGAAGATTGGAAGCCAGTTTTAGAGACGCAAACCCGGTTAACCGTTTACACATTGCGATACTAGAGCCTGGACCAAGTTGCAACTTGCGGGATCCGCACCTTCAACCAATTCCTAAGCAAAACCCGGCAGGATCCGCGCAGCGGCTACCAGCGCCCGTCGCCTCGAAAACGGGAAGGCAGCGCTGAGCCTGAAACGATCCCTTTGGGTTTCCCTCTTCCTGTCCCGAGGCCAGAGCACCTAGAGAGCCCGTCTCCTTGGTCCCCGAGAGGCCGACCCCTAGCCCCCAACCCCGCGCCCCCAAACCCACCTTTCCCTGCAGTTGCCCCTCGCTTAGCCCCCAACATCCAGATGGAGCGCCTCGTGCGTAAAAGCGCACAAGCGCCCTTGCTCAAAAGGGAAGGGAGAAAGGCTGACGGTGAGGACCGGGGGGGGGAGGGTGGCGTTTGAGAAGGGGAGCAAGATAACACGGGGGGGACCCGGGGAGGGGTCTCCTCCTCCCCCTCCCGCTTCCGTTTTCAGGGGTGCCCAGGCGCATGGGACGGCTCCCCCGACGGCGAGGAGGCGCTGAGTCCCGGACAGGTCCTGGTAACATTTGGGCAGGGCGCGGAGTGCCAGCGGGGTCCCTCGCTTCCCCGCCCCTGTCCCCCCCCCACTCACCAGGATCGAAAAAACGAAGGCGGCGATGTTGACGGGGTACGCAGGGCAGAAGCAGGACAAAATGCTCAGCCACAAGTAGTTTTTGGGCGCGGGGCGCGGCTCCTCTTCCTCTTCGGGGCCCGGGATCTCCTCGGCGCCGTTCAGCTGGAGCTCGGCACCGCTGCCGGTCTTCTCCAGGCCCCGCTTGAGGTCGGAGTAAGCCGGGGGAGGCGACGAGCCCGCCATGGGGGGAGCCCGAGAAGACGGCGAGGCGAAGTCGGACGGGGCGGACGGCGGAGAGCGCAAGGAGAAGAGCGTGGGAACTGGCTCAGCCCGGGCTCATTCCTCTGCCCGTTCGGGAACCACGACGCTGCTGCCCCCCCCCAAAAAAAAAAGCCCCAGCCGAGCCCGGCTCGCTCCGGACCCCGGCTCAGGTTTCGCTCCAAGAGAAGACGCGCTCGCCAGCTGAGCCAAGGCGCGCCTGGAGCTCCGCGCCGCCTCGGGTACCCCCGCACCAGCAGCGGCTCGGGGAGGGGAGGGGGGGAGAGGCGCCTGATTGGCCGAAGACAGCCCTCTTTGACCCAATCAGCGTTGGGGAAAGACGGGGAGACGGGGGCAGAAAGGCTGCGGGGGGGGGGAAGCCCGAATGGGAAACTTGAACTTAGAGAGGGGGGACCTCAGAGGTCTTCTAGTCTAGGCCACCCACCAGATGATGCTGGACTTTTAGGCGAGCCTTTTTCTTTGGGTTGTTTTTTTGGCTGGGGAGGCTGGGAACGAGAGTCTAAGAAAGAAAAAAAATGTTGAGGCTCTAAGAAAGAGTAGAGAGAAGAGAAGTAAAGATGATCAGGGGACTGAAAGCTAAAACATATGAAGAAAGGTTGCAGGAACTGGCCGAGCAGTTTAATGAAAATAAGGACGAAGGGATATCATGATAGCCGAGTTCCAATATCTCAGGGGCTGCCACAAGGAAGAGGGGGGTCAAGCTATTCTCCAAAGCACCTGAAGGCAGGACAAGAAGCAACGGATGGAAACTAACCAAAGAGAGAAGCAACCTGGAACTAAGGAGGAATTTCCTGACAGTGAGAACAATTAATCAGTGGGACAACTTGCCTCCAGAAGCTGTAACAAGTTTTAAGCTGAGTTGGATGGAGAATCTCAGAACCTCAGCCCAGGCTCTAAATATCCTGCTTCAGCAGTAGAGGCTCTTTAGAAGTCCCCAAAAGACAGCCTTATAAATCAATCCGCAGAGAAAATTGCATTAATGTGCTTTCTCCCAGTGTAGAAACCCTTGGCTGGATTCTCACGGTGTCCCACTCAGCTGAATCATCTCCATTTTGCTGTTAGATGCTCGCCTTTTCAAAAGATTTATATAACCCTCCATCGGGAAGTGAAGGATCTCTAAATGCCTTTTCAAGCGCTTACTAACTCTAAAGGAGGATATTTGTAGCTCAGGGCTGAAATGAGAGGGTCCTTGGCGCTTTCTGAATCTAATTGTTTTCTTGCGGATGGTTCATTACCAAACTAGGCAGAAGAGAGTGGGGTTTGTGGAGAGGAGGAGGAGGAGGAGGAGGAGGAGGAGGAAGAAGAAGAAGAAGAAGAAGAAGAAGAGGAGGAGGAGGAGGAGGACTGTGGGATTCTTGACGCTCTCTGAGTTTCATTGTTTTCTTGTAGACATTTCATTTCTTGGAAGACATTTCGCTTTTAATCCGAGAAGCTTCTTCAGTTCTGGAAGGATGGTGGGGAGATGGAAGATTTCATTCTGACAGGATGGGGAAGAGAGGGGAGGAATGGAAGGATTGTGTTTCTTTGCAGTCACCTGGTTGTTTAGTACTCCCCGTGAGAGCTCTTGAGGCCACTTGTGGATTTATTTGTGCTGTCAGGCTCACCTGAATCAGTGGGCAAATGGGCGCCGGACCTTCTTGGGACTGCTGAAAGGACGGTGTTGTAAACAGGAGAGAGGTGGGGGTTGTATCCCTCCCCCTCTGTTGAGAGTTCAGTTTTAATCCAGAGGGCTTCTTTTTACCCCTCCTTACCCCAGGGGCCCTCTCAATCCAGAAGGCGGACTGATTATGCAGGTTGTGTGTGTATATGTTCACTTCTCTTCTGTGTGTTCTCACCATCAGGGTCCCTGAGCTGGTGCGTTAACCGTGGCTAATATTGCACCCACCCTGACCGTTTCAATGGTGCTGGGAAGGGTAGCCTGCGATTCAGTGCCTTAAGTTAGAGGGGGCGATCTATGCTGGAAGAGCCCCAGTGCCAATAGCACCCACTGCCAATCTGAGACTGGGCACGGATTGCATCTGAACTCAACAAGGGAATACAGAGTGAAACGTGGGTTTCGTGCCCTGGCTGGAAACAGCACTTTGGAAAGCTGGCGTAGCAAGTTAGAGAGCTAGAAATTGATCCGCTACTAAACAGCGTCGGTTTGCTGTTACTTACTGATGGGACTTGGGGTACTTTATTGCTATTGGAGGAGTACAGGGGAGGGAAAGGGGGGGGAGGAAGCCATCTGAGGCAGGGGGAATTTTCCCTTTGGAGGGAGGGAGGGGAGGCCTTGAAGAAGGAATTCGACCACCATTCGGTAAACACGGGGCGAGGCGGGTGAGAAATATATATATATTTATTATAACTTTTTGCAAATGTTAAGGACTACTGTGGTCGGCAGGTGGCAGCATCTGCAAGCTTTTCTTTTGGGGAATTTTTTTTGCAAAGGAAAAGCACCCCCAAATGACTACATGGCTGGATCCCGACGACATACGGGGTTGCAAGCTCACCAGCTACCTCGCAGCCTAGTGCAGACTCTGCCCGCAGAGCCTTTTTTTTTAACCCGGTTAAACCAACAGGTTGCATCAGGTTTCGCAGGAAGCCAGCCTCTCATTAGACCTGCAATTAGCCTGGTTTGCTTTGGCTCAGCACGCTGGGTGATCGAGTCAATCGCGGCTCGCTACCTGCGATTCCTAGCTTGCCGCGGTTTATTCCGCAAGCCACGGTTAAGGCGAGGCTAGTTTAGCGCCCCCTGCCGGGCTGGACACTTTCTGCCAACTTAGCGCCGTCCAG